GAACTTCAGTCTGCTCCTCTGTAAAATGTGGAAGCTGGACCGGATGACTTTGAAGGTTCCTTCCCACTCTTAACATTCTCTGAAGGCATTGTTCTCCATGACACCCGTCTCAAGGTGAGCCAGTGATCTGGCATCTAGGACGGCACCACTAGACATCAGAAAACTCCATCGTACAGCAAGTCTGTGTAGGAACGTGTCCTGTGTGTCCAGATAAAGCAGGGACAGAGAGATGATAATCACATAGCTCATTAATGGCAACCCTAAACCAAAACTCAGGTCACCTGACTCCCAGTGAGTCAGCTAGGTGATACAGAGTGTGGGGCCTGGAGTCAGGAAGATCTGAGTTCAAACCCAGTCTCAGACACTTGTTTGCTATATGACTCTGGGCAAGTCACTTAATCTTCATCAGCCTCAGGTTTCTCAACTATGCAATGGGGATAATAATAGCACCTACATCACAGGTTGTTGTGAGGATCGAGTGAGATAAAGTATTTAGCACAATGCCTGGCACATAGTAGGTGTTTAATAAATGTTTGCTTCCTACCTTCCTTCCTAGTCCAGTGGTCTTTACATTGTTGTTTAATTGTGTCTGATTCTTCATGACCCCACATGGGGTTTTCTTGGCAAAGATACTGGAATGGTTTGCCATTTCCTTCTCCAGCTTGTTTTAGATGAGGAAACTAAAGCAAATAAGGTCACACAACTAGTAAGTGTCTGAGACCAGATTTGAACTCAAGTCTTCCTGACCCCAGACCTGGGGCTCTATTCACTGTGCCACTTAGCTGCGTCTATTATATCTTTAAAGCACATATTTCCCCTCCTACACCTAAAATCCTCACACTTAAAAAGAAAGCAAAGGATGTTCCATTTGTAAGAGATTGACACCAATGGATCTGGAGCTAGAACGGGTCTTAGAGGTCTGGCCTCTTCATTTTACGGAAGAGAACTGAGACCCAGAAAAGTTAAACGATTTGCACAAGGTCATACGAGCAGTCAGTGGCGGAGCAGGCTCTCAGCCTCGGGTTCCCTGACTCTCTAAATCGAAGGTGCTTCCCACTGCCCCAGACTGCATATCCATGGTATAGTGAAAAGAATATGAGATTCAGAAGACCCACTTCATGTCCAAGCTCTACTGCTAGCCATCATCATGACCTTAGGTCATTTAACCAGCTCATCAATAATAAAAATTGATATTTGAATGACACACCTCAGAGGGGTTTTTGAGGAAAGATCGTTATCAGTTGTAAAGCTATTATTAAGTTTATATTATCCTAAGGCTCCCCCTGCCCTAAAAGCAACCTTGGTACTAGATGCAACCTGGTACTTTGATGCCAGAACCCCAGAGGTTCAAACTGGACCCCTTCCCTCTGGGTTCTAGTGAATTCAAAATCAGTAATCCTAGAACAAATCCTGCTTCTCCAGGTTCTACTGGGGCAACCCAGGACTTTCAAGCCTAGAATAAACCCCAACTATCTCAGGAAGACTAGACTCCAGGAATATGTGGCACTGACACCCAGAAGCCTGTTCTGGATTTGGTTGTTCCCTGATTGCAAACGTGCCCATGTCACGCAAGTGCACATAGCTGCAGGTGATTAAGAAGGTGACTAAAATATTGGGGGCTGGGCTTCTCATTTATTATAATATGCAGTAGGCAGGTTGGACTATAGTATACTAAAGTAGTAAAAAAAAAAATGGTATTGTATATGGCAGTCAGCAGATTCCATTCCTATTTTCCAAGTGATTTTTCCCCAGGCATTTCACCATCTCATAGGTTGCTTTTGCTGTGATTGTGAACTGTGTCTTATACAGTCCACCTGGAGTAATTTATTCATGTTGTCCTGGGGATTGGTCCACATGGTACATTTTTCAAAGTTCCCTACATCTCTCTCTTCCTCCTCCTCCTCTTCCTCCTTCTTCTTGATGATGATGGTAATGGTGTATTTTTGTTGAATTCTTATGCCTATATAAAAGACTTCAAGTCCCCAACTCTTTCCTACGTTTTTCCCTTTAACAGCCTTTAGCATTCTCTGCACAATCTTCACTTCTACTTGAAACCTAGGTCTTTAAAAAGACTGTTCATCTAAATTTGTTGGAATTTGGGTTCCTCAACATGGTATACATTTATTTCTCTTATCACATTAATTTGGGGGTAGAATTTTAAAACCATTTAATAGCAGAAGGAATGCTTGATGAATGGTTGAAGCAGAACAATATAGCTGCTCCAAACGTATTTAGAGATGTCACCCTTGGCTTAAAGGAAATCACTTAGAGAGCAATTATGTTTCAAAAGTGAGTCATTCCTGTAAAGAATTGAAATTTAAATCAAGATTTCTAGGTTGGCGATGTTATAATTACAGTGCCTGCAGTGATTTCTACTCTTCAGTGAAGGGTCATTTCATCAGAGAATTGCCTCAACAAATCTGAAAAATAGGAGCCTGCATTTACTTAAATTGTTTCAAAGAGAAGCAAACGTGGATATAAAATGGAAATTTTTAAATAATGCTTGAAATAATACTAATATAGCCGCTGTGATAATACTGAAATGAGAAATTTAATTGCTAAATATATATATATATAATACACATATGTGTGTATGTCTGTCTGTCTGTGTGTGTACACACACACACATAATAAGATAGCCACAATTTTTCTTATTATACGCTGGCATTACATGGCCCAAAAAATTTTAGTGTCAAGAATTAAACTGTTTAGGATATATTCCCTAAAGAGTCCCTGCTGTCGGAAGCGATATAATCTGCTCCAGTTGATGTAGGAATGCATGCTGTGAATGGCATGAAAATTTGGGGAAAGCTAAGAGGTTTGTTCTTCCTACTTAATACCATATAAATTATCCAATTAGGTTGATCTTGGTTATTGAAAGAAGGCAATCTTGTTATTGCTATGACCATTTCACACTGGCTTTTCTTTTTTGATAGTATCCATTATTGTACATGTGAATTCAAAATATTTGGTCAGTGATGACTTTAGTGTACTGCTGAAACAGGGATGAAGTTAACAGTGAGTGCTGTTCCCAGGCTATGCATTCACAATAGTAACCACGGATTAAAGCCCTATAAAAATCTGACCAAGCTACAGGGATATAATGGACAAAGTGGCATACCTACCTAATAAAAAAAAAATCCCTTAAAATTTCCATTATACCCCAACCAATTTTCACGATTCAATTAATAATGGCCTCTTTCTAGGTAACATTTTTCTTCTAAGGAGCCCAAAGGACTTGATTCAGAGGTTCTTGCTCTCAGGACCTTGAATTCATTTTCAGACAGACAGACAGACAGATAGCTAGAGATGACTGGTTGGTTTTTTTTTTCCAAAATAATTGGTTTCCTTTGCAATCTTATGTAATTTTTTTTTCATTTAGATATATTGTTCTGAGATGGGGTTCCCAAGTTTCACCAGACTGCCAAAAGGATCCAGGATTAAAAACAGGATTAAGAACCCATAGACTTAAGGCCCCTTCCAGCTAGAAACTTCGAAGGACATCATGGAAATTAATTAATTTCCTTCTCTCTCACACTCTTGCAGACTGCCCACCTTCCCCCACCCTTTTCCACAAGCCTGTTTAACCCACTCCTATTTGATTGTCACCCAGGAGCATCCCCTCCCGACACCGACACAGAGAAAGGTACAAAGGGTCCTGATTGGCTGGAGATGACCACAGCAGCATTTCCTACTTCTTGCTACATCTGAATTCTCATATTTCCACCACAAAAGCAAAAATTGATGGGAGATAGAGGAAGTCGCCAGTATCTGAGGGTGTGTCGGCCTTGTGGCCAGGGTTATCACCATGACCTTGAAGTAGAATGTATTGTTTCAGGTTTTGATTCTAGTCAAAGACAAGATTTCAAACATAAAAGTTTTGGAGCTCAAAAGATAAAGTGAATCCATAGCTATAGTTATCTCTGGCATCTGGCAGGCACTCCTGAACCCCGGGGTTCTAATAAGCAGGAAAGCTGGGATTTGGATTGGCCCCAAATCTCTTTTTTTATTTAATTTATGGAGTTTATTTATTTATTTATTTATGGGATTTTATTTATTTAATTTATGGAATAAAACAAGCATTTCCATAACATAGTATAAATTAAAAAATGATTGCCAATGAAACTACAAATCTATTATATATAACTTGCTATTCCTTTTAAATGTAAGAAAGTTATCATGTAAATTTCTTTTTTTTTTCTTCCCTCCCTTTCCCACCCTAAAGTTAGGTACCATTAGATGTGTGTGTGTGTGTGTGTGTGTGTGTGTGTGTGTGTGTGTAAAATCATTCTATACTTACTTGATTTATTAGTTCTTTTTCTGGATTCAGATGGTGTCTTCCTTCGTAGGTCCTTTGTAGTTTATTTGGGTGTTTATAATAGTCAAAATGACTTATTCATAAATGTCCTTCACCATATCCTGCCCTGATGACCAGATGCATTTCCATATGGATATAAGGGAAGTACATCCAGAGAAGATAAGAACCAAAGTATCTTTGTTGCGTATATTTGGGGTGTAAGGGCAAAGTAAACCTCTGTTAATTTAGCTGTTCAAAACAAAAAATAAAAAACTTATTTGCTCCAAGTTGTTCTTATAACAATATTGCTGTTATTGTATACGGTGTTCTTTTGGTTCTTCTCATTTCACTCTTCATTATTTCCTGCAAGTGTGTCCATGTTTTTCTGAGATCGAGCTTTTCATTTCTTATAGCACAGTACTATTCCATCATAATCATATACCACAATTTGTTCAGCCATTCCCCAATTGCCAGGCATCCCTGCAATTTCCAGTTCTCTTATTCCAGAGGAGCTAGCATTCAGAAGCCCTTAGCATGGTCTCCCACTAATCCTGGTGATTGTCTGAGAGAGAGCAGTTATTTCCTAACCCTTCTGCCCCTCCTATTTGCTCCTCATCTTGCCTTGACAGGTGGCACCCTCTCCCTGGCACATTTCTCCCCTTGCAGACCTTACCAACATAACCTGTCATTGCTTTCTTCACAGGAGCAACCAGGGCTTCATGCACATGAAACTGACAAAAGCCAAAGAGAAATATATCCTGGGGCAGAACAGCCCTCCTTTTGACAGCGTCCCCGAAGTCATCCACTACTACACGACCAAAAAACTGCCCATCAAAGGAGCAGAACACTTGTCCCTGCTCTACCCTGTGGCTGTCCGAACCCTGTGAGAGGAAGGACCTGCTCACCTCTTCCCACAGATGGGAGGGAGGCCACGGAGAAGTGGGAGAACACGGACTCCACCCTGTGCATTGACCAGAGCTCCGGACTGAGAGAGGAAACAGAAAGTTACTGCTTTTCACCATATATTGACTTCAGATCATTAGAGTGGTACTTTGGCACTGCTGCATGTCTTTAGAACTGTGTTTCTATTTAAGGGGATGGAGGAACCATATTTAAATGTGATAGCAGATAATCTAGCCCCTCACCCCCACCCCCACATCTCCCTTTATTTCCTGTGAATTAAAATATTTTCAAATCCAAAGATATGCCTTCCAGGGTAAACAGAGCAAAGCAGCTTATAGCAAACAGTGAGCTCCAAGGATTTTCATTTCTTTGTTCTCCTGCTGTCATGAACTCACACCTGCATATGGTAAAAAATAATAATAATGATGATGATGATGATGATAATTCTCCACTGGTGCTATACTGTCCCCTATTGATAATGAGAACAGACAGATGTTGGGCCTTTCAGGACCTAGAGAATGACAGCACATTCAACTCATTCCCCACAGGAGTCTTCAGAACTCTGCCTCTTCTCTGTGTGTGTGTGTGTATGCATGCGTGTGCACGTGTGCATATCTGCACATGTGCGCCTGAGTGTATGTGTGGGCTCAGGGGTGTGTGTGCGTGTATATGTGTGTGTGTGAGTGTGCGCTTTCACACACGGTTGGTTAGGCTAATCCAACAAAAAAGTTCTTTTTCTTCCCTTGATGTGAGTAGGAGACCTTTCTCAATGGAATCATTTTGCAGTAGCAGAAAGAGTTCAATTATTTATGACTAGGGTATGTAAATAAAATAGTGGTTTAATATATATACATATATATATTTTTAATCTTTTTTTTCTTTGGTACAACAATAAATCTCTAAAGGGTGTATCTGTTCACTCACAAGTTTCATTCAGAAGCCAAGTCTAACACTGTGGCTTCTACCTTAGGGCAGTCAATGCATTGTGGCCAACGTTTCATAAATCGAGACTAAGCTATTACAATGAGAGTGGAAGGGGGTGCGGACTTGGGTTTCAGGCCTTCAAAAGGCTATCACTGTTTATCTCATCTCATTTTCACAAATAGTGCATGAATGAGAATCACTGAAATAGTCAGCTCACAATATCCAATGTCCTCTTTGCCTCAGGGATAGAAAAGCATTCTCGAAATGGGGTTTCTATTTCTCTAAGTCAAAATGAATCTTAAATAGACAATTTGTAGCAAGCAGTAAATCTGGCCTTTCAGAGGCATTGGGTGGGGTGGGAGGTGGGTAGGGTTACCTTACATAAAGAAACGTGACCAAAACTCTGGCTTATCCTTATATCTAAATAGACCATCAAGGTCTGGATAGGTCCTGCTATCATCAAAAAAAAAAAAAATCAGCAAAGTTGTGTTGCTTCAGAAATACAATCTAAACCCTCCTCCCAGACTTCCCAGCAATGCCTGGTACACTGAATGTGATAAATGACAAAACCATGATCACACATGAATGCAAAACCTATTCAGAGAGCTCACTGATACTGCTTCAAGTCTGCCCACTAACCTGTCTAATACCATGTTTCTCCATTTGTAATTGAGGCAGAGCAAGGTTGTATAACTTGCAATTTACCTGCATTGAGTATAGACCATGAGAAAACTATGAAAATGTCTTCTATTTCATTCTCCTTTCTTTCACCCTATTTCCCACTCATTCACCAACCAGACTTCGATTCAGCACTGAATGGGGAAAAAAATGGTTTTAAATAATCAATAATCATTTGTTCTGGAGTCGCTAATACACACTGACTCCTTGATGGGAAAGCAGAAGGGGGTGGGACCAGCATTAGGTCTCGAGCTAATGTCTTCAGCTTCCTGACTGCAAAACCTGCTGAGTTGGATTTGATCTAGATCAGGGGTGTAACCTGTGGCCACATGTGGTCTTCTAGGTCCTTGGGTGTGCCTTTTGACTGAGTCCAAGTTTTACAAAAAAATCCTTTTATGAAGGGGATTTGTTCTGTGAAGTTTGGATGCAGTCAAAGGGCTGTACTTGAGGACCTGCAGGGCCACAGATTCCCCACCCCTGGTCTAGATAATCCCAACACTGGTGAGAAGGGAAGTTGGGACAGACTTTAATGCCCATCAACAAAAATGGAGGCCAGAAATCAGATTGCCCTCTTAGGTGGCTTAGTTGTGCCTCAACGTTCTGACTTAGAGCTATGGAAGCAAGCTGTTATCTTACCCCAGGAAGGATTGTTCAGTGATTGTTTCTATCAATCCACAAAACTTTCTCTCCAAAAGAAGTGCTTTCTTGTTGAGGATGGCACTTTCCTCATTCATCACCAGGAGGATCATTTCAAACAATATTTTTTTCTACCTGCTGAAGAGAGCCTATCCCTGAGAAGGCACTTCTGACAGAACCTGAAATGTCTACTTGAGCTGGTGTGCTCTGCTGGCAATCTTGGTTAGGTTTCCAAAGGAAAGAGCCACAGGATTTGTCCCATTTTGTATTATCAGATACATTCCATGAAACCAGATTACCTGGTGTAATTTCTGTTTGCCTGCCCTTTTTATGACATGCAAGTAAATTGAATCTGCATTTTGCATGGAAATGCCACACAAGGGTAGCATGAGAAGAGAACATGTTAGTGATGTCATCTTTTCTCTCCCTCATCCGAGGATGGAAAGGATTATGTCCTGCACGATTAGCCATTCTTCTTAAATATACAAGTCTGGAGTCATACAAATGTCTACAGCAGCTTTGCAGTCCACTGATTACATCTCCACAAACTAAATTAGTTTCCTAATCCAGAGAGTCATATCTTCTCTTTGGATAGTATTAATACTGATTTGTTTGTTGTTTTGTTTTTTTTTTTAATGAAAATTTTTCTTAAGAAAATGCTCCGCTCCCTATGTGCAGTGGAAATAAAAACAGGAGTTTGTTTGCACTGACTTTGTCTTTGCTTATTGATGTGATTATAAGCCACAGTGGCTCACCAGTCATCATTATCAAGTTTACCCAAGACTCCTAATCTATTCCGCTTGGTGAGGCCTGAGAGAGTGGAGCAGGTTGAAGAAGCAATGTGTTATTACAGATTCACTCTCTGTTACCAGTTTTTGTTTGTGTCTTTTTTGGTGAACCTCTCCCTCTTCCTCTAATTGTGACTGCTTCCTGTCTGTCAGCCCGTATTCAGATTTTCTTGAACATGTAACAATTGAAGCTATTTTTCTGTTTCAGGACTACTTACATGTAGATTACTTGGGATTTTTTTGGTTAGTTCTAAGCTTAGCTTGTCAGCAGCAAGTAGTGAAAATAATAATTAAATTCTATTTCATGTAAGGAGAAAAAGAAGGCCTGTCATAGCATCTCAGTGCTGCTCAGTATTTTATCTTTGAAGGATGGGAAAAAAATCCTTTTGAGTTGTTGCATGTCACCTAAAACCAGAATATAGATATGTAACAGTGCTGGTGTTGGGGTCAAGAAGACCTGGGTTCAGATCTCGCCTTTCACACTTGTTAGCTATGTAATTTAGCAGAAAGTCACTTAAAACTGAAGCTTCAGTTTCTTCATCTTTAAAATGAGGGGACTGATGTCCCTTTCAGCTCTAAATCTATGATTTTCTGGCTTCTCCAGCCGCAGAATTTCTTATGACACTGTCCCAGTCACACCTACGGATTCAACCACTTGGCAAATAGAAAGGTGCCATTTGGGATGCCTTTTTTTTTTTTTTTCCATTTAGTGGCTCAGAAAAATGCCCCAGAAAACCTATATGCCTTCTAAAGAAGAGGAGGAAAGAATCTGATCTGTGGATTCCAAATTCCCCCAAGTGCTTCAAAGACTTGGGTATGAACTGTACAAAGAAAGATCTGGACCAACAAAAAGATCCTTGACAAAACTGCCTTTTGCAAGATTTGTTTTGTTTTGTTTGAGAGGGGCAAATGAGTTGTAACCTGTGATTTCATTGATGTAGGGACCTGCTAGGGAAATCTACAACTTTCCAAAATTCAGCCATTTGTCCCTAGTGCTGATAACGAGCACTATGTCCCTACGTGTCAGAGATTAGGACCTAGGTCTTTTTGACCCAAAGACCAATTGACAGATACTACCTTGTCTCCCTTTTTTGTTTTTTTTTTCTGAAAGTCCAGTTTCTTAAAGTGCCCAGAGCTGTTCCTACAAACCTTGATGAGACCTGGGCCCTCCCTCAGTTTTTCATCATTGCTGGAAGCATTGCATTTGTTCATTCTAAAAGACTTTTGTAATGCTGTCCTCCCATATCACCTTGGTTTAACACTTTGAATAACATACATGATGTTAAAACACTGACAGAGCAAGAGAACAGAGTCATTATTTTAGGAAGAGCCCAAGAAGGATGAACAGGTGAAGTCATTTGACTGAAAGAAGTTCACCATCAGTTGCAAAATGAAATGACATTCTTTTTTAAAGGTTTGAACTCAAGTTCTGGTATGACCTTGTACAGGGCATCCTGAGAGCAAAAGTCATTAATGGCTCTATGGGAAGTGAATTCATTGGACTTGCTGGGCCCCATTTGGCTGTCCATGCTAATTTCCCTGGATCCTTTCTTGGCAGTCTGAACAGAGCACCAGAAGCAATAGTTGCACCAATAATCTCACCCTTTCTTCATAGATGAACCCACAGAAGGTACATTACAAGGGTTATCAGGGAACTTTGTCTTACTTCTCATGCTATATTTATCCTGTGAAATCCATTGAGGATTTAGTCTCTGGGGCATCAAGCCAATGACAGCTGTTGGGTAGACACAGCACATTAGATTGTTGGAATATATAACCTTTTCACCCTTCAAGGTTAGTTCACCAAATGGCAACAGAGAAGGCAAAATGGGGGTTTTGTCCAAAATGAACCAGCTCCACGCATGACATTGTTATATAATGGTGCCTTCAAGACCTCAGCCCTGATGAAATCTCCTAGGTAGGTAAGATGGTATTTTCACCTCTAATCTCATAAATGCTGTTCTCTCAATGGTTCTTCCATGTGGAATATGTGCCAATTATACTCTGCTGTTTTGTGTGTCACCTGTCACTTATCAGTCACTGCTGTAAGTTGTGTATTGGGTATCTACCATTTAAAAGTTTCATGGAAACTTTGAATGCAAATTGTGAGTGTTTTCATTCTGTGTAATAAAATGTATAAAGATGTATATTTAATGTGAAACTTTTAATATAAAAGTGTCTTGTTAAATGCATTTAATAGAGCATGGAAATTTCTTTCTTTAAAAGACAACTTAATAGTCCTTTATGTCATTTTAATATACTCTGAATGGCTTTCTAACTGGATATGCTATGATTCTGACAACCATGATCTATTTATCTAACACTGCCAAAAAATATGTCTATTATTACTCAAATAATCAAATTCATCACTTCTATAAGTATTTGGGGAACTGTAGTCCTAACAACCCAGCTAAATAGTAGCCAAAATCTGCTTTCGTCCTAAAGCAGACATTGTTCTCTTGGCCCCATAAAGATACTTGAAAATGTTAGGCTCTATGTCTGATTTTATTTATAAACAGAGACATAGGACAGTAAGGAAATCATTATTTTGAACCTGAGAAAATGGTATGAGTATGAAGCCCAGCCAGTACCCCCAGGCTGAGCAAGGCCTCTCATGTCACTGATTTAAGGGGTCCCATCTTCCTGACAAGTGTCAACCTGTTTTGCCCTAGGATAAAACAAAGTTAATAGACTTACTCTGTGCTATATGCCAAGTCATAATGGTTTCAAGAAGAAACTTAGGATCAAAGAGTATCCTACTCTTAAAAAGAAGATGTCCCTTGGTAGGTGACCTACAGGTTTGGGCACCTCTGCTATCTTCCAAAATTAAATGGAGGGGGAAGAGTTGCTACAGTACACCTCATGCATCATTCAACTTGTACCTTTTCCAAGTCTACCTTTCCCCATCATTTGAATTTTAAGCTCTAGGGGCAGATGAGTGGTGCTTTTTTTTTTTCTTTTGGTACCATGAATGAATGCATAAAGTTATTGACCATGCCTGGCCTTCTGCTTCTCTTTTTATACTTTTTTATATAGTAATTACATCTTGGCAAAACCTAATCACACAAATAGGTAATATTTGGGAATCATTTTCTTCATTTTAGAAAACTATGTATGGGATATCAGGACCAAATTTAAATCTCCATACCAGGTGGTTACTTATATCCACAGGGATGAAAGATAAGAGTCTGAATTCGCCACTTCAGTGACCTGTGTTTTCATACATATGAGTTTATGCTCACCTTACCTGTGCAGATGACAACTGTGTCTCACTATATAGTGTAATGAATTTCCATGACCAAAACAAACAAACAAAAATGATATATCTGCTAATGGCCAGCCAACCCTCTGCTGATGAATCTATCTATCAATCAAAAAGCATTTATTTATTAAATGTTTACCATGTGCCAGGCCCTGTG